TCTTGCAGAACAAATGTGATTGACCATCTTCTGGTCTGAGTACAGAGCTGTCACCATTTTCTGGGGCCAGGAGAAGGTCAGAGACTGTGAACTTGACTTCTTGGGATTGTTCTGTATGCATCATGTGGATATGGAGTGAGAAAGTTCTGAGAATACAGGGGCTGAAAAAGGTATCAAATGCCTCTTCCTGAGACATTCAGTGCTGGTTTCAGATGTCACCAAGCCAAATGACATCCCTGCCCTTAGGCACTTTGATCTTTCTTTCACTTGACATTGGGCAGTATCTATTCTAGTTTAGAGAAAGCCAGCTAAGTCAGTGCCCTCGGAGGTCTAGAACTTGCTTCTTCAGTTATGTCAAGTCTCACAGATTGTTCCAATAAGTATCCCTTGGCCTAATCTTGTTTGAGATGGGTGTTTGCTACTCCCAATCAACAGAATTCTGATATGTATGTCAGTGTGTTCAGGGAGTGGAACGCCATAATGATCAGCTCCTGTGTTACAATAGGTGTACACAGGCTGGCTTAGGACAGACCAAGAAGTTGTGAAGACACAGTCCTATGGGGCTGGATATCAGCAGTCCTTGGTAGGGAGCAGAACTTCAAATGATTAAGAATTGATGAACTCAGCACATTGTCCACGAAGTAGTAACTTTAGGTGACCTGATAGAAAATATCAAAATAGTGCTGCACTTTGCCATTTCTTCAGGTGAGAAGTAGATTTTTGGCCAATCTGACAACGCACAGAGAATAGCCGAACTGGTTTACAGCAAGGTTAAAAGACCTGCAGTTAATAATTTTGAACCTGATGAATCAGGTAATGAACTGCCTCTTCAACCCTTAAAACAACAGGAATGAGCTGCCTGAGTGGCACGTCATCTATAGCAGAGTTCTCCTCAAATCCACTTTGGTGCTTGAGTCCTCCCAGACCCAGAATGATTGGCTAGGAACACAGATGTCCTGGAGCCTGCGCCTGGCTTCCCTCCACACTCTCTACAGTGGCACTCTCTAGAAAACACAAGTTTGGAAATCACTGAATTTGGATCTAGCTTTGTCAGCAAAATAGAGTTTTTAGTTTTCTCCTACTGGGAAAAGGATGACTTTGGATAAAATGAGATTTATGCAATAATAAAAGAAACATTAAATTTTCACTCTGTGTCAGGACTAAAGATTTGTCTCAGTTAGCTTTTGAGGTAGGTACTACTATTACCTGCATTTAACATAGGTAGTAAAGTGCCTCACTTAAAGTTGAACTAGGATTTGAATCTACACCTTGGGCTCGTAGCCATTATATTGCATTTCTTTTTAGGTGACTTACATGCTGGAGTTTGCATGCTTCTTTCTTCTACCTGCTACTATTACACCTTCTTGACAGCTTATTTTTACAGTTTTTTTTTTGAGGTACAATTGGCATACAACAAGTAGGAAATACTGATGAGTTTTGACATATATTTCTACCCGTGAAAATATCACTGTCTGAATGACAAGGAACATCCCCTCAAATTTTTCTTATGACTCTTTGTGATCCACTCCTTTTCCAGTTTTGCCTCCATTCACAGGAAGCTAATTTCTTTTCTATGACTATGAATCAACTTTCATTTCTGAGACTTTTATGTAGTGGGAATCATATGCTTTGTACTTGTTATTGTCTGCCTTCTTTTATACCATCATTTTGAGATATATCCATGATGAGTGGATCAATATTTTGTTTCCTTTTATTTATATTATTACATTGTATGAGTGTTTTTCTGTGTAGTGGTATATATATATATATATATATATCAGTATACAAGTATAGCTGCTATGTACACCTACATCCACATGTTTGTGAGGCATGCACGTTAATTTAAATAAATCTCTAGCAATGCACTAGCTGGGTTGTAGGGTAGGTGTATGTTTAGCTTTTTAGGAAACTGCCTCACAGTTTTCCAGAGTGGTTGATCGATTTTACATTTTCACAGGCAGGGATTGAGAGTTCCAGTTGCTTCATGTCTCACTGACACTTGCTGGCATCAATCTTTTTAGCGTCAGCCTTTCTAGTGTGATATGGAGACAATCCATTGTGATTTAACTGGTGTTTTCCTAGCAAACAGCAAAGTCAAGCATTTTATGTGCTTGTTTGCCATCTATATTTCTTCTCTGTTGAAATGTGTGCTTAAACATTTTTTCTTTTATTTCTACTGAGTTGTTTCATTATATAATAATAATAATTATTATTATTATTATTGGTCTTAGTTTTTCCCTCTGGAGTGGTTTCCTTTTCTTGAGGAGCACATTCCACACAATGAAACATAGAACAAGGAGGTAACATGATTTAGAGAAAAGGGCACAGATTTGGAAATAGGTAGGAACATTTGGACTTAAATTCTATCTCTGCTACATGAAAAATTATCTCACCTTGGGGAACTCAGTAAATAACTCTGAACCTCAGTCCATTTGTCTGGATCCAGTGAGTGTATTTCCTAGTGTACCTATGAGGCATAAATGAAGCACTCTTACTGTATGAATGGCACCAGATGATAGCAACCCTTAGTAAGTCAATGTCCTAACAAGAGGTTACTTATAAGAATTGTTAGACTTCTCTCAGTGTCAGAGTCATATAAAATAATGTCTGGAATTGCACCTTGGTTATGATTTACTTTTTTCCCTTCCTCTCTGTACATTAATATACAGCTTGCACATGAGGCTCATCCTCCATGAACACACTTGACGCACTCTACTGACACCACACCACAGTTCTGCATGCCTCCACCAAGAATTCAGGAATTCTCTGGTTCAGTGGCTTCTTTTCTTGGCCCTCTTGTTTGTACACTGTCCTCATCCTTGTCTAAGTTTCTCCTTGTTTATATCTTGCTCAGACAGACAAAACAGTGTAATATTTTTTTTATGGCAGTGGTAGAGAAATCCCAGTCTCCCTGTCCCTAGGGACTAAGGGTACAGATGGCCATCAGCAGCTAATAAGATTGTTTTCCTCCATTGTGCAAGGAGCATGGTGGAGCTCTCTGGGTCTCTATCCTGTCCTCTGAGAGTCTCATGGGGTTAAGCTGCCCTTGTGGTGCTCTTGGTGGGGGAAGTGCAGGGGCAGGATCAGGGCCAGAGCTATTGCTCTGGCTTCCTGACAAGAAAAGAGCAGCTTCCAGACAGAGTTCAACCTGAAAAAGGCTCCCCCGCTGCACAGGAATTACGCGCTCTAGGACACGCTTCCTGTGCAGCAACATCAAATATTCTCACTGTCTGCAGAAGCTCACATTTAATAGGTTAACTGTTTTGTGCCCAGTCTGCCTGAGCTACAAAACTCCACCACAGTGTGGTGCCCAGGACTGGTGCCCATCATGGCAGTTTTATTCCTGATCCAGATTCCATTCCCAAGCAGGTACGGAGGCTGTGTCTCTAAGTTTTCCTGTAGTGGGTGTCACTGAGGTTCTGTGAGTGTCACCATCCCCATCTTTTCAGGGCTACTGATCCTTCATGCCTCTAGTTCGTATGATGCTCTTTCCTCACCCCTATCCACCCAGCCACCCCACAGCTGGCTCTATAGAAGATACCAAGAGGCCATGAATTGTCACAGACTCCTTAAAAAGGTGCACTGCCCTCTCAGGGTTTTGGGACTTAATCCTTCCTGAAGAACTTTAGGAGATTCTCTTCTGTGGGAGTATGACAATATTTTATTGAAGCCTTCTACTCCTTTTCATGGAGAAATTCATAACAAGCGCATGTGGAAGGAGAAGTTGCATTAAACCCAGAGTCTTGCGGGATGCTGGAGAAAGACTGGCTTAGACTCAAATGCTAATAGCCCGCTGATGAGCATGGACAACATGATTACACAGAGAGGCAAGGCCAAGTTCTCCATTCTCTCCCAGGCTGGCAAGAGCACCCTTCCTGGAACATCTCCCTCCTACCTCCCACCCTCTCTGCACTTAACTTCTGGGAATCATCCCTCCTGCACTCAGCTTTGGGCAAGTGCAGACAAATGAATGGATTGAGAAATAACCCTTCAGAGAACCCTCAGTGCCTTCCCTCCCAAGGGAACAACGAGAAAACAAAACACGACATCAGTTATTTGATAGAGTCAAGTGTGCACACTAGGAAGAATACCAGACGAGACTTTCAGGCACATCCGGAGTGAGCAAGGAAGGGGCTTGTGGAGAATGATCGTGAACCACCCCCACCCTGCCTCTGCCAGGGGTTTGTCTGCCCTCTTCTTCCTCCTAACAATGGTCCTCTGGAATAAAGTTTCTAACGCCAAGGTTATCAGTGAGAAGATAGCACTGTGGAGTCTTAAGAGTCTGTCTTAGGTTTCAGAGTGATTAGCACCAGGCCTGGGACGTACAAGTCCACCAGAGTCCCATAGCCCATAGAGCCTGACTGCACCATTTCTAGCTTTTCCCATGGACCACGTTCCTCATTCTCCATGCCCCGCACAGCAGGCCCTGCTCTCTAGCCTTGCTGTGTGTAGACCTGAGGCTGAGCAGAATGCATGACCAAGCTTGCTTCCTCCATTCTGCAGTTTTTTCAGATGCATTCCTGAGAAAGCTACCCTGGCAGGTGCAGTCTTCTCCTTTGTCCCCTCTGCACTCCTGAGTAGTCTCCTGGAGGCTTCGGGTCTTGGTAGAGGGCAAAACCCAGATCCCGTGGAGGCCGGGGTCTCAGTTCCTGACTCTCATCTGACACTGCCATCCCAGTCCTTATTTGGTCCCTGGTTGTGTTTTCCCAGTGGTGGGTGTGTGTTTGTTTTCTGGTTGGTCTGAGAGTCGTTCTAAGCTCAAAGCTCATTTGGTAAACAGAGAGAATCAACTTTCCCCTGATGCAGGTTAATACCTCTACCCTCTTCTTTAAGGACTCATTTTCCAGAATCTTCTCTTGCTCATTTTTTGGACCCTAAGGATGCAAAGATGAATGAAGCTCGCCCTTAACCTATGAATAACTCACAGCAGGGTGAGGTAGGTCCTATCAGTCAGTGTTCAGCTTAAGAAATGAATGACATTACAGCTGTTTCAAGCAGAAAGGATTTTAATAGGAGGGTTAAATCACTCTAAGGGCTGGAGGAGTAGATTATAGGTTCCAGGGATGACTTCCAAAGAGGGATTACCTCTGCCCCATCAGGGAAGCAGCCAATCAGAAAGCCCAAAACTAGGTAATTACTGGGGTCTAGGTTCCAGAGCCCATAACATACCATATACTTGCAGTCTAAGAATCAGAAATCCAGTGATGCGAAGCTGTTATTGCTGCTGTTAAAATCTACTCTTGACAATCATAAAATGATTGGCTGGTTACCGGTTTATGATGCAGAGAAACTTCCTGTCTCATCACTGTACTTGCCAGTAGGAAATATCTCAACATCTCTCTCCTTTGCTCTTCATGTCCTATACATAGACAGATATTGGTGAGTTGAATATGCACCCAGAAACTTTTCTGCAGCAACTCTGGGAAATGGCCTTGTCTTACAGAAAACAGAAGTGGACTCTGGGAATAGTATTCAGTGGCTGCCACAGACTCAAGAGTGTATATGTGCACTCATAAAGTGCTAGAAGCAGCAGACAGTGCAAGATGTGGTGGGTCATAGGAAAGGAGAAATCCTTTCTGCTTGGACATGAGGGATAATGCAGAAGTGCTCCTGGGGGTCTTGAACAGTATTCAGTAGAAGTCTGCTGCCAGGGGAGTGGGAAGGCCTTCAGGGCACAGGAAGTTTTGTTTTAAGGCCAGGGAAAATTAATAGTATAGTGTGCCTGGAGTCAGTCTGTACATCCTTTGTGTGGAGCAGAAGAGAGAAAGGGATAGAAGGGCGATGAGGCTTGGGAAGGAGCAGTGTTGGAATAAAGCAGAGCTCATGGCATATGAGGCTTAAGGGCTCAGACTTTCTCCTGTGTGACAGGGCAGTCTTTGGAAAAGTCTAAGCAGGGGATGACAAGGTGGGACAGGTTTGGAACGTGCTGTGGTGTGGCATGATTTGAGTGTGTCCCTAAGAATTCACGTGCTGGAAGCCTGGCCCTCAGTGTGGCGGTGCTAAGTGGAGGAACCTGTGAAGAGGTAAGATCTGCTGAAGGCAATTAAGACATTGGGTTGACAGGGTTACTGTAATTCTTGTGGGACCCTGGTTAGTCACGTTGATATCAGAAGTGGGCCTGGCCCCTCAGTACCTCAAGGTTCCCATCTGACTCTGTCTATTTGTTGCTGTCATGCAGCCACCACCATGTGGTGTTGTGGCCCAAAATTCTCACCAGACCACTGCAGAGGTTGGTGTCACACTCCTGAATCTCCAAAACAGTGAACTGAACAACACTCTTCTCTTTATAAAGTGCCCAGCCTCAAATATTTTGTTACGGTGGACAGATACGGAGTAGACTCGGTGGGTATTATCTGGAGATGCCCAGGAGAGGAAAAATCAAAATAAGAAGCAGTGGGGGAGACAGCAGTGTGGCAGGTGAGGTACAGTTAAACCCTAAACTAGGACTGTGGACATTAAGACTGGAAACGTAAGGCTTGTGTTATATCAGGAAGTCGAATCAACAGAATTTCCCTGAGCTAAAGGACCTGGGAACGATGCTGCACACACACTGTGTGCCATGCCCAGTGTTACATGCTTTGCACATACGAGCTCATGCAGTCCTCACACAGCTCTGTAACTAGCTTTTATTATCAGTCCTCATCTACAGAGGAGGAAACAAAGCAGAGCTTGTGAATGTCAGAGACAGGAATTGAAATGTTATAGTCCAGTTTTTAGGAAACAGATGCTCAGTTGATTTGCTATCAAGTTCCTTGGTTTGCAGTGAAAAAATTTTCTTTTCTTTACCTTATAAACCTTTCTTCTACCTATGAATTCTGCTTTTAACTGGAGTAAGGAGGTTTTTAACCAGAAGTTCATGCATGAATTTCTGTAAGTCTGGTAAACCCTGAAATTGTAAGCAAGTTTGTATACTTTTTTAACAGTGATGCATTGTTTTTCCTGGAAGTGGTGGCAAAGCTCCTCAACAGATTGCCAAGTGGGTCTTTGATCTAAAAACACACTCAAGAAAGTTGCCTTAGAGCAGTGCTTCTCAAAGTGCGCTCCCTAAGCAAGAAGAACCAGCAGCTCCTAGAACTTGTCAGGAATGTGTATTCCCAGGCCTCGTCTCAGTAACTCAGGGGCTGGTGCCCAAAACCATTGCCTTAGAGCAAGACTGAGTCCAGTCCGTGTGGCCCTGTGTCCTGTGTCCTTGCCTGGCTAAGGGTTCACAGGAGAGGCCACAGAAAGGACGAGCAAGCGGACTGAGAAGGCTGAGAACTTCGGAAGGAAACTCTCAGTTCATGTGTTCTGCCCTGAGTTGATGTTTTGGGCAAGGCATTACCTGAGGTATCCCATGAAACACAAAACAGGCTTTTGAGGGAGACGAGGGGGGTGCTGGACACTGGACTTGCAGCTTCAAAGTTCTGATCTATAGAAGCATGCACTCAGGGCCCCTCTGAGCCCTACTTTCCTCCACAGATGGCTCCTGCTGGTGCTGATCTCAGAGATCTGAGGTCCACAGACCTCTAATGACATTTCAGTGAGGCTCTCTTGCCAGGTTCCTGAGGGGACTAGTACCTATCCACACCCTAACCAGTCTTAGCAAGGTGCTGTTTGTGCCTCTCCAGTTCACCCCGCAGAACCCAGCTTTCCCCACACCTTCGATGGATGCACACAGACCCTGAGCCAACCTGCAGGGGCTGGAGGTGAGAGTGGAGAAGCTTTCTGCGTTCCGTGGCTATCCCATCACCCACGCCTCCAAGAGCAGGGCCTGGCCTCCTCCTTTCTGCAGAGTCACCAAGCTGGAAAGCATCTAGGGTAGGGAGACAGCCTGTGTCTGCTGGTTGGCTTGGAAAGGTTCTGGGAATTCATTATGATCTAAACAGCTATTCCAGTTACTCCTGTGACTCAGCCCCCGCAGTCAGGATCTTCCTGGGTCCGCAGGGGGCGGGAGTGCTGACTCAGGGCTGAAGAGGGCACCTTGTCAGCCCCCCTGGGCTCCCAGCTCACCTCCAGACTCTGTGAGTTCCCAGAGGACACAGAAAAGCTTCTCTGGAGTTCAGTTTCATTTCCAAACAAACAGCCTCCTCCCACTGCAGCTTCTCACCCTACGCATCTGTCTGTCTCCCGTGTATTTGGGAGGAAAACAGTCACAAACACTCACTCGCACACCCAGGGCACACTTACCTAGCACCTAGGTGTCTCCAGCTGAGTACAATTGGTTCAGATCCAGAAAAATGAGACCCGAATCTGTGACACCGTTTGGCACCTGCTGAGTTAAAATGCACAAACAGACATTTAGGAAGCTGGGGGAAAGGCTCTGAAGCAGAGCAACAGAGCTCAGAGAGTGTGTAGCAGCAAATGAGAGCCTTGCTGGGTGCCTGGCAGCCCTGTAGCAAACTGGAAAGCAATCCAGGACAGCTGGCGAGAGAAGAAAATGCCCGGAACCCACATGGCACAAGAGAGGATTTTCTAGAAGAAGCAGAGAAGATCGACTGAGGCAAAAGGGTGGAGGAACTAAAGTTGCAAGTGTTACAGTTTTGCCCACCGGGGGCAGTTCTTGGAAAACTCACTTTTACACAGTATCCGTTAGGCGGGTTGGCTAGTGAACTGCTTGAACTTTCCTCCTGCCTTTGAGGAGGAAAAAGGGGAGGAGAAAAAAGAAAGAAAGAATGGAAATTAAGAAAGAAGGATGGAAATTAAAGTACAGAAATGAACATGGGCATCCACCATCTTTCAAGCATCGAATGTCAGTTAACTACTAGGGGTTGGGGGCTTAGCTCAGTGGCACAGCACCTGCCTGGCAAGTGCAAGGTCGTGAATTCGATTCCTGGTACAGGAAATAAAACCAAAAAAAAAAAAAAGGATGGTGGAGCCTCAGTTAACTACTAAAAGCACATAACCTTGGTAGGTGCAGTGGGTGTGGAGGGTCAGCAGGGCTGAATGGCCTGCCTGATGGTGGCTACACTGAGATTAGAGCCTGTGTTCTTGTCCTTAGCAAACCAACAGTGCATGCAGGTACATAAGATGAAGAGATCCCATTTCACAGATGGGCAAACAGAGTAACTTCTCCCACATCATGCAAGCAGTACATGAGATACTAAGACTTCAGAGACAGGTCTGTCTGAATTCAGAATCTGAACCTTTTCCCCTAGAGTGCCTTGCTGCTATCCATTTTGAGTCCAGATTGCATCTCTTTAGGACCACTGTCTAGACATCTACAAATACAGATTCTGACACCATTGCCATCCAAGATTAGGATTTCAGCTCACGGCAACTGTAGAATTAGAGTGGCTAGTCATCTGGCAGATTTCCTTTCCTTGTTCATTTATTCAATGCTTTTATGCTGAATACGCCAATTTGATTTGTGGCAGGCACAGATCCCAAGACTAGAGCCATGGAGAAGACAGGAGGCAGGGTCCTTTCTCCTCCTGCAACCCTAAGTAGAACGAGGAGAGAGAGACATGCAGTAATTGTCATACAGCTATTGTTCGTGACAATGTAGTAAGTGGTGTTACAGAAGTAGCTCACAATTGTAGGCACTCTGCATAATTTAACTCCTTTAATTCCCATAGGCCAAAGAGGAAAGTGGAGACAAATGAAGACTTCCTGAAGGAGGCTTCACCTCAAGCTGGAAACAGGAAGACTCAGCTAAATTAAGAAGGGAAAGGGCCAGGCATGCTGCTTGATGCCTACAATCAAAGCATTCAGGAGGCTGAGACAGGAGGATTGAAAGTTTGAACCCACTCTGGGCAACTTAGGGACTTAGCAAGACCCTCTCTCAAAATAAAAAAGGGCTGAGATATACCACATTGCAAAGGTCTTGGATTTCTGCCTCCAGAGAGCCGGGGTGGGAGGGCAGGAGCACACTCTAGTTCTGAACTGTCTAGGTAGCCATGGAGCTCCGGGAATGTGGTTATTCCACATGCTGGGTTTCAAAGTCATATAAAATATTTCATTTTTTTATATTGATTGCATGCTGAAATGCTGTTTGGGATACTTTGGGATAAGTCAAATGCATTATTAGAGGTAATTTCTCTTTTCTGTTTATGGTGTGGGTGTGGCCGTAGACAGTTCGTTTGCATGTGTGGCTCTGGTACTCAGGTGCACAGGGCTGCTCTGCAAGGCTGGGATCTCAGCCTCTGCTGCATTCAGGAAAATAGAAGCCAGTATGGAGTGGATGGAAGATGGCAGAAAAGGACTCTGTTGGGGTCCTTGGACTCACTGAAAAGTGTGTTCTCAGTGCCATCTCTGGCTGTGAGCAGGGGATGGCTAAGGATATACTCACTGGCCTCGAACACACAGCAATCTTCCTGCCTCAGCCTCCCTAGTGCTGTGATTACAGGTGTGCACCACCGCACATGGCTAAGGCCATCTTTGAGTCAGGTTTTGAAGACAAGAGAGGCACAAGCCACCAGGACATAAAGGTGAAGAAAACATTCCGGTAAAAGCCAAGCCCTTACCAATGGTTCTCCTGGCCAGCTCTCTGCCTTCTCCTACAGGGCTTCTCCCACTGTCATCCCATTAGTCTCCCTGGTTTCCTTGCTCCTGACAAGCAGACTCATGCTTCAGGACCTTTGTACTGATAGTATGTGCTCCCTAGCCATCCCAGGGCAACACCTTAACTTCCAGTTCAAATGTCACTTTAGCAACCAGTTCAAGTAAATCTACTCTGACTGTCTTATCTAGAATTTCACCTCTCACTGGCTCTCCCTTCCCTTACTTGTTTTTCCCCTCACATTTTTTATAACTTTATGACACCCTCAATAACACTCTTTTTCTGTATTTACTGCTATTTTCCTTACTAGAAAGCACACTCTCTACAGACAGGGCCCTTGGCTTGGTGGCCTGCAGCAACCCAGCTTGCAGCAGGGCCTTGCAGAAAAGCTACTGGGTCCACACTGCTTTGAATGGAGGAGGGCTTGCTGTGGCCCAAGCAGTAGGTTCAGCTGAGGGACAAGTGTCCTCTTGAGATCTCTCCCCTGAGAAAGGACCCATTCACCTTCTCCTGCAGTGCAGACCTCACTCATCTGGCCCCACCTGGCCCAGAGGGTTGCTGGGTCCCCCACCCAGAGTTCCAGCAGCAGCCTCAGGTTCAGGCCCCACTGCTGTGCCACCGGCCGGAGTCTGGGCTGCCCAGAGGAGGCTGAGCAAGGGACTTCTGGCAATGAGGAGGAAAACAAGGAAGAAAAATGTGCTTCCAATTCAGGGGCTCCCAGGATATCATGAGTTATTCTCATCTCACTCTTCCTCAGATCCTTGCAACCCATCTGCCTCCAGCTGGAAGGGGCTAGCCCAGGGCAGGGACCTAGAGTTCCCACATCCTGCCCCCCTGCTCCTGGACTTGCCTTTGTCCCTTCTCCTCCACTTCTGATTTCTTTTTTTTTTTTTTGGTACCGGGAATCAAACTCAGGACCTTGCACTAACCAGGCAGGGGCTTGTGCCGCTGAGCTATATCCCGGGCCCCCACTTCCAATTTCTAAAGGACTCCTAGTGTCCCTGGCTCTTACTCGCCCTGATGAATCCGTGCTAGTTACTGTGCAATGCTGGCATGCAGCACCGTTTTGTTTGTGTAAATCTGCCATGAAACAGAGGACATGGAAATTCCAAAGCTAGGGTGTCTAACTCTGCATACTGCTGTAACCCACCCAAAGTAAGGAAAAACACACTGTGCTTTGCATAACCTCTATGAAAGCAGGTACTTCACTATCAAGTACACTTGATAGTGACAAATTCCTGTTTGGTTCACACCTCTTTATCTCTGTTGATGGGCTAATGAGAAAAGCTGTGCCTTTCATTTGACCTTGAAGGAAGGTCCAGAGAGGTCATAAAGCTCAATTACTAACACACAGCATCACTGAACTCCCTTGTCCAAAGTTTTGAACCAAATGCTGTTCAACTCCTCTTGCCTCTCTGTCTTCCTGGTGGTTACCTGGCCTGGTCTTGGATGGGGATGGAGCTGGCCTGGGAGCCTGTACGATGGGACTCAAATCCTGGACACACAGTTTACCAGTTGTAGGCCCTGGGACAAGCTGCTTGGGCTCTAGGCTCAGTTTCCCTCCGTGTAAAAGTGTTACATAGTATATTCAACCTGCAGGGAGAGCTAAGGAGCTAACCAGTAATGTGCAGGCATCCCCGCACCATTCCTGTTTTAATGATTTCCTGCCATTGAACACCATTTGTTATCACTCATGCACAGGAACACTGGATGTTTCTCCCTGTCCACAGCTGTCCTCTGATTGGCTCAAACTGCCCTGTTCTCAACAGTAGCCAGCAGCCAATGCAACCATTGGGCCCCTGAAATGTACCCAGGACACATCCGAAATGTGCTGGAAATGCAACATACACAACAAAACTTTCAGCACTGCATGAAAAGAGAAACTGTAAGCTTAAAACATCTCATGGATAGTTTCACTGTACACTGATTACATATTGAAATGATACATGGATATAATAAGTTAGATAAAATACATCACTAAAATTAATTTCACCTACGTCTTTTTGCTTTTTAAATGTGGCTGGCAGAGGGGGTGAGAGGGAAGAGTCCCAGGTGCCCTGATGATGGTAGCTTTTTGACAAAGGGAACTTTTGAAGGCAGAGAGTTCTGTTACAATGTCTAAGGGGAAAGTCACAGGTCTGCCCCCAACTTTCATAATGACTGTGGGCTCTTGGGGGCCCAATTTGATAGAGCTCAGGCTTCCCTATCCATCCAGGCCTGACAAGGCGTGGAGAGGTTCAGGTTGACGTGGACCTGGATAGTACGGTTTCTTTGTATCTTTAAGAAGCAGGGGGGGCATTTATTTTTGTACCCATAGCCCTCATAACTCATAGCCAGAGAGTATGGTCTTCTATCAGACTAGATTTTCTTATAGACATCAGGTGCTTTTCTTTTACCAGGTTTCTGGATAATAGTGGTTGATGGACTGTTTATCCCCCCTTCTTGATGTAGCTGAGAAATGCTTGACTGATTTTACGCTTCTGGGTGAGGTGACCTTTGAGAAAGGCCATGGCAACTCAGTCATCAGAGGTGACAGTCCAATTTTTTTCAGTCAAGATATGGAGCTCAGAAGGAATTGCTAACAGTCATCTCAGGAGGGCATTAGATGATGGCTTCTGTCCAGGATAGGTGCATCTCCAGGGTAGGGGGCTGTGGCTGAATGCAGGCAATGACTGATCGAAAGGGGACTGGCTCAACTGGTTGGACAGATGAGTTAGAGTGGGGGTGGGGAAGTGGAGGGTGAGACTGTTGGCAGCAACTGCAGTCAGGGACTGTGAGTTTTGACTAATTAGTTCCCATTTCTGGCTCCCTACATGTGTGTTGTGTACCCTTGAATGATGGT